ACATCTTCATCACATCTTTTACGGAGAATGACGAGATGAATATTCTTCTTTACCGTGTATCCATTTGAGAGAAGGTATAGACTGGGTCGATTCAATGTGGTGGTGGATGCACTTCTGCATCAACCCGACTAAAAATTGTCGTCTATTATAAAGTTGACGTTGCCAAAACAAATATGCGATACATACCATGCACTGGTTAGACGCAATATGTGCTTTCTCTTCAGGTCCTGAGTGAGCTGGGTTGATACCTGCGGTGCGTTTTGTAAATCCAAACTCGTTATGTTAAAGTATCTCAGAGCGAAATGCACGGCAACCCTGACGCACTTTCGGTGGATAGCTTGCGAAATTTCGATTTATATATTAGGCTCACTACATGGGATACCAGGGTACGTGTAATCCCATAACAACAGTGTCGGTCATTAATCATTAGTCATCGGTTAAACAGCGTCTGCTGGTCAAGAGTTAAATTTCCTAGCGGTACAGTGCTCAGAAAAACTTGGCTTGCTTTCGGGGCATGACGTCGGTCATCATAAGGTCGATGTGGCGACTCATAAAATCTACTTGTATCGGCCGTATTCTTCCCACACATATTAAGTCACTAAACAAGCCAAGCGCAAAGTCGCGCAAATTGTGAAGCGGTAGCTTCGTCGCCGCTTGGGCTCCATTTCAATGCAGCGATTATATGCAACGGTTGTGCCAAATTTCACGCGTTTTATCTCGTACAGTTCGCATTTATATTTGAACGATAGCAGCTGGCGGGACGCATATGCAGCTAAATCGTTAGTCAGTACTTTCTATCCCATTGAATCCGATGATACAACATTAATTTTATTCTGCCATGCCCCCATGTAGTCATCTTCCCGTGCCGTAGCGCGGTGTTTGAAAGCATGGCAAGAGCATGACGTTTGCCTTCCGGGGGAAAATCGATAACAGCAGTTTCGCTCTCGCAGTCGTCCGAGTTTACTTCTATCGATAAGTCTTCTAGCATATGATCTCGCTCATCAAGGTATGTTATATAAGCCTCTTTTTGCACAGATCTTGTGTGATAAAAGCTGCAAATAAGTATTTTAGGAGTTTACGATTTAATTGGATTCACTTCCGTCGTCCGATTCGGTAGCAAGACCTTTTCAAGATGAGAAATCCAGTTTCAAGGTGGGAGCGCAAACGCTAAGAAAGTCAAAATGTTATCGTTCTAAGCACTTGCAACATTAGTTTTCAGCAACCATTATCGCACTTATCGGTAGACCTTTTTGGTATGTCTTGCAATCAGTACAGCAGCAAATGCAACATCGAAACCTCAACGTAGCTCTTCAATGCTGCTTCATCATCATAAGCGGTTCCACGTTGATACCACGTTTCGTATCTTGAAAGCAAATTACTTATCGAAGCCAATTGAATCGGAAAGTGAAATCGACTCCTAAAGTACATAATTGCAGCATTTAATAGATTTGATCCATACAAAAGGATACTTACATAACATACCGTGATGAGCGAGATCATACGCTAGAAGACTAATCGAGAGAAGCAACATCGATTGGACCTGCCACAACATCTTTTCAAGTACAAAAGCGACCTGATACATAGGAGAGACCTTAAATTTGCGTTGTATAAATTGATCTAAGAAGAGAAACGACCCAACTTCCAACAAAGCAAAGATCAAAATGTTTGATATAGCAAAGGTACCCCATTTGCCAGCACCGCCAGGAAAGTAAACGACATTTGGAAGCAATTCGAGCACTGACTTGTAAATGACATATATGGTGGGAACAACACATTCAATGTATTCCACTAGTGCCAAATATTCACAATGAAATAAAAACTGGAGCCCTTGCAAAACAAAATATTCCGATCTTTTGCCATTTTTGGTTTTCACATCAGAGACTCTGGGAAGATCAGCAGATTTTTTAGGCTGTTGTCTCGTCGAAACGTTCACAAGGTTAAATTCAACCGGTTGAACAGAAGTTTTAGGAAAAATGCGCGACATTTGATTGCGTCGACGAATAGGTCGTGTTTTGGTCGTAATGTTTTGACAAAATAATCTTGATGCTGCGAGAATTTGAAGTTGCTTGGAGCAATCTTCTGGGAGAGGATGCGGAAGACAGGCATGTAATCGCACACCACGCAGGGAAACTATATTATGAGCGTGGGGATCTCGCGTTACCGCAATAATCATTGCGAGTAAATCTGGTGTTTCAGTCAATAATGCAGACTGCATCGATTCTCGAGCAATTCGTTGTTGATTGAGTAATTGCACAACGACAAATGCATTGGACCGTAGTTCGCGAAATTCCAATAATGTTAGTCCCAAGTCGGCAACAATGAAGGAAATAGACAGAAGCAAAGATACGGAATTTGACATGCATACCGACATGAAAAGCGAGCTGTACAGATCCACAGTGAAACTTAACGTTTGCGGTATGATGTCCTCCAATTCGCGTATGGCAGTTATTGCAATATATTTTGCCCCAAATTTCAGTATTGGCAGCATCAACACTAGAAAGTTTCGATACACCGGATAAATTGAATCGTGAAGTGCTTTGCAAAAGGGATATATGATAGTGAACGCGACGTACGCATACTGATACCTCTGAAATCGTAAAAGATATGGTCGACAAATAGATTCCCTTGTGAATGGTTTCCTGCCCAACACGAGGACTAAGACTACCAAAATATAGGCTGTAACCACCCCGTTTCCAAGTTGTACAGTAAACGGCAGAGGGTACCCAATTTTGCTAGCGGCTACTAGCATGGTAGTCATGTACAGCACCGAAAGCAAAAAAGGAATGGCAAAAGTCTGAACAGGAGATACCTCCATGACAGGTATAAACATCTTGAAACTGAGAGTGCCTATCAAAGTCGTCATAATCACTAATATTGTCTGACGAATCCAAAACATCCAATTTGCTCTCCATCCCTCAGACGGTTGGCGGAGCGGTAAGCACTCCAGAAAGATCGCAAGCGCTAGAGTAGGTATCGGAACGAGTAAACATACCAGAATTACACGAGTACGAGAAGTGGATTCGCAGTACGCATGAAAACTTTCGAGTCGTTCGACCGAATAAGAACCTTGACGACCAACTTGGATGTTGTTCCATTTCTTTTCGAGACGTCTTCGCACCTGCATTTTTGTGTTGTGAGGCAGTAACCGACCTGTGCGCGTTACGTTCTAAGTTTAATCGAATCGGAAGTCACCTTGGCCACACTAGCGATTTAAGCGTACGAGAAACATTATAAGGGCTTTGCTCGATCGGCTAAACAAAAGCTAAGAAAGAGTGAGAAATGAGATTGTATTGACAAATAGATGGTGTTGTGGTCGTGATACTTTGACAATATCATCTGATGCTTCGAGTATTTAAAGTTGACACGAACGGTCTTTTGGAACAGATATGCATGCAAACACACACCGTGTATTTGAACTAGAATATTAGCACAAGAATCTCGCGTCACCACGTAATGCAGACTGCAAAAATCTTGATTCAGACAGCGTTGATTTGGTAGCTTCACCACGACAAATGCATCGGACCGTAGTTTGCGAAATTTCAATAGTGTTCGTCACAAATCGGTAACAATGGAGGATACAGACTAAAGCAAAGATCCAGAACTCGACATGTAAACAGATTTGATAAGCGTGCTGAACAGAAAACTTAATCTTTGCGGTATAATGTTACGTGCGGCAGTTATTGCAATATATTTAGCCTCGGATATTCATATTGGCTGCATAAGTAACGATCTGCTCAAAGAGTTTAGTCGGAAAGCGCTTTGTAAATCGATACATGACAGTAAGAGCCAGGTACGCGGACTGGTATTGTTATTGTCTCACAATACTTTGCTGGCAATCGAAAGAAGTGAGTTACCAACACAAGGAATGAAAGTCGCAAGAAGCGCGCCATTTCGAGTCCGAATAAGGAACTGTAGAAGTCCTTCCAGACGAAACCATAAAGACCGGTATAAAAGTAAGAGTGCTTACAAAAGTTGTCGTTAACACTGATATCATACGCAAGTATCACGCGCAATCACGAATGTCATCAATATGGGCAGTGACACCAACGCAGATTGTGGCGAAACTTTTTCAAGTCCGTCAACACCTCATTTTTCCAATTTCAGTTAGAATTGGCTCATGACACTTCTCATACTACAGCACAGTCAATCGCGCACGTTTATTTTTCCTCCAGGCTACGGAGAGGATATCACTATTTAGCAAGCATGCTAAAATTACATGAGTGTGAGAAGTGACTTTGTAGTACACGTTGTTTTATTCGATCAAACAGGATCGCTGACAACTAACTTGTCTTGTCCTCCCGTTTCTCTTCGAAACGATATCACATTCCGCTTTTGTACTTATAAGCTGGAGGGAGGGAAAGTTGCTGTATTATCTAATCAATTCAGTGCAATTTTGGCATTCGTTTCGCTACAACTATAACGATTTTGCTGCTACGCAATAAGAAGACATTGAAATGACTGCTTCAAAAAGTAGAAATTTACATATAGAGCCAACGCATTCATCATGCAGGTGATGATCACCGAAATCGGATGCTGGGGAGCTTAAATCCCTTTGGTTGATCATAAGTCGAACCGGGCTTCGACGGGCAAACGTGGTGTCGGCCTAGCGAAGCTACGCGAACATGCTAAATTCAACTCCGCAACCCAATCGAGCTGAGTCTGCAGGCTCACAATGGGTCTGCTTAGCGGCGACGAAACATACTCGTTGTAGTGTCATCGTCACTGAAACAAACACTGTTTTCATTTATTCGAGCGAAGAAGAATGACGAGTGAGTCTATGAAGACCTAAGCAATCAAAGGGCTTCATTGCTTCAAACCACCAAAAAATTAAAGATATTTTAGATATAAATTATAACGTCGGCCTTAGTGTAAGTTCGACGTAGCAAATGCGCGAACATATCCAGGTACAATAGCGCGATCCATTGGACAACTCCAGATTAAACCTGATGCATTTAAGCAGCCGGAGCAGGTAGTCGTAATGGTGTGGTCGAACGCGTTTAGGAAGGCAAAAATATACTCTCCATCACGACTTGTGACGAGCCCTGGAAAATCACAGGGAAGTGTACGAGATGGTGAAGGGAATGGCCAAGGATAAATACTTTTTGGTCCAGGGGATCAAGCTGTGATGCTTTCTTGTAGTCATATGCCTTTGAAAGAACCTCAAGTCGACTTGAGCCGGAGCAATCCGACAATAGTCGATGGGCTGGCTCGCGAGCCCTTCTTTGCGGCAGCATTACGGCAGACTTGCACTTTGATGCTAGTGGTGTGCCTCTTTGAGACTGTCTTCCAGACGACAGTTATCGCAGCCTGGTCAAAAGAAGCCATCAAACCGTCTCGTAATGAAGAAGACGTCGCATTCTGAAATGAGTTGCGTTAACGTCCTTGTCCAGAACATCCTGTCAGATTCTGGAACAGCGCGGATGACAGAGTCGAGAGTCTTGCGTCGAATGTCTTTGTTAGGTGGCAGAGTCTGACCACCGGGATTACCTGCTGCACCCACCACGGAACTTAAGTATTTCAGAAAGCGTAGGCAGAACTCGTGCGAACTGATCACGACACTTTGCTTGGTATCAGGGCCAAAGTTAATGAAAGCCCGGTGCAAAGTTGATTCTTACGGACAGAAGAAGTCTATCGTGAACTTTTCGGACTTCATGACTTGAAAGTGAACGCATGTATCTGGCTGTACTGGCCTGACCTTGTCACCGTATTTTGTACTTGTACATCGCTGCTCGTCCGTCATGGGTGTGTTTGACCGCTTTCGCTTGAAATCGCAAAACCACTTGATCGAGCGCCTCGCGAGCAGCTCTGACAGATTAAAAACGTAGCAGGTGGAGCATTCTTTGTAGACCTTGAAGCTTTTTCTTGATGCTGAAACACCAGCTTTTACGAGAGCTTTGCAAAGCGTTGTCACTAAACGGAGCTGAATGTGTATCGGTTCTGTTTCACGCACAATTGCCGATATGGCTTGCAGGTACTTATCATGACCCGGTCAAGCTTCCATTTGTCAGGTCTGAACTGGCAATACCTTGTGGCTGACATCATCAGACAGGTGGTCACTTCCGCAAATCGGCTCAAAGAGTTTTTATTCGTAGAAGGACAGGTCGTAGAACGACTTGGATAGCAGCACGTTCAGGAGGTTTTCTGAGACGTAAATCTGCAAACACTCATATGGAGTCGTTGTGGATGCGCTAGGCGTCGACGAGCCAAGCATCGAAAACCACATGAGGCAACATAAGTACTCGCGTCGTAGCGACAATCTACTGGGAAGCTCATAGTACTCGTATCTAGCAGCCTGTTCAGAACCTTTAGCAGATTGTGGGTCACCCTGCCTTAAACGAATCCGTCAGGGGGCTTGATACAAAGCCCCCTGACGGATTCGTTCAAGGCAGGGTGACTACTAAATAAGAACCGGTGTGTATACGCTGCGGATGTGAATAAGAGCAAGGCCCGCCATCGAACCACAAGGTCATAGCGACCGATGACCGTCAAGCGTGGGACTTCGCCATGTGTTTAAAGGCGGTGAAAGTCAGAGTGCACCACCGAGGAGGAATTAACTCTTCCTTCCTCGCATTGGCCGGTCTGGCAGCGCATCGGCATCGCTCACACTGCTCATGTATATATGACGACTCAATATGAAATATAAACGTGTCGTGATGGCGGTTGGATGGCAAATGTGGTCTCTTGTAGGCAAAACATGGAGTATCTGAAGAGTAAATACTCGATCAATAGTTGGCCAATCTTGTTCACGCCGAAGGTGTTCACGGTGAGGAGCATAATGTCTGTCCAAATCAGAGAAGGTGTCGAGACCACCCATTGCCAGCTTCACCGACTCGTCCGCATGCTATCCATCGTCGTGTATGCTCAGCTCCTCGAGTTCGTCGATATAATTGCCGTGCCGTTGCTCCTACTCCTGAAAATTTATGCTAAGCGACTCAGAACTCACCGCAGGCGCTTGAGCAGTTAAATTAGGTGGAGCAGGCGCGTGTGGTAATCCGACAGCCACTGTACCAGCTTATCGTGGAAAAACTTGACCCAGTGCTTGGTATCAAACATTGTCGGTGCAGCTGGCATCAGCGTAATCTCATACACCATGAGCGCCTTCAGGAACCGAGATAATTCGTGCGTTTTTTCAATTGTCATCTACCGAATCGGGCTTGTCGTAAAATGAAATAGCACAGCCAACCTCTTTAACTTCTTTCCGTTTTTGAGCACTACTTCCATCGACGCTGTTCTATTTTCATAGCGCCTCAGACTTCGTGACCTCGACCATTACAATCTGATGGCGTTCATCAAACTTCTTGTCCACGGTCACGTCAAAGCTCTCGAATGATGCCGAGATCGTCTCAGGCTTTAGGAACAAAACCCGTTCTAGGAATGCCATCAGACTGTGGCTTCGTAAGAATGCACACAAAAGCAATATCACCCCGCGTATGTTTTTTCTTGTTTAAAACAGCTGTAAATTCATCGATGATCAATAACTTCTTTTGGCTTTGACGTCAGACTTGATGGAGGCGATATTGTGCCTTGCGATTTCTATAGCGTCGATATCGAGAGAGTATTATCAATATTGATCTCATCCTTTGCTAGATGGAAAAGCTAAGGTTGGTGGTCATGCAGAGACCCGATTCCGAGCTGACCTTCTTTTTGAATCTCTTCCTCAAGCAGCTAAAAAAGGCACAAACCCGCGTCGATGGCTGGAACTTGCGGCGGCGATGTTACGCGTGGCGAAATCATCAAGTGGCAGGTGAATCTGCCATAGAACACAAGGCATCAAAAGCGGACGTTCTGCCAAACTCGGATTAGCATTAGCCCAAGTAAGTGCTACTGAGCAAGCGGTAGCCAAACGAAAGATGCGTTTACTGGAACGGCGCATCCTTGCCGTGGTCAAAATCTCTTACGACTTTGCTGCAGAACAAGTCGTAAGAAAATTCAGCCGGACACTTATTCGACACGAAGTGCAAGCGCCAGATCACGACCGTGAGCCCTATCACCAAATTTATGTCGCAAGGGTGTCGTACACCGGCGAAACCATGAAAAAAAATGCTAAAGCATTATGTCCGTGAGTCCACGTAGGAGAATTTGATGAAAAATCTGCCAGCAAGAACGTTGATAGTCTTCAACTTCTTCAGACGCGGGTTGCCGCTCAGCATCTAACACACTTGACAAATATAAAGTCACGGTACAACCTGCCAAGTGCTGAGTTGCCATGCGACTCATCATGAGTGCGATTTGATCCTTTGCAGCGTAGCTTTGGCGAACGACTTGCCCGAATTGAACTCCATGCCAAAGGTAAGGACGAGAGTGCTCAATACGAGCCGCGTGGCCGATTTCGCCTCCTGCGGGTATACGGGCCTCAAAAGTTTTTGAACGCCTTGATGTCAGTAGCAGAAGACCTCGGGATCTCTACACGACACTGAGAAGCAACATAGGAGGCACGGTCTCGTCGTATGATTTTTGTTGGGCGAGAATACTCGCCACGGTTTGACGCATATCTCCCTGCGAGGCGTATGATGTATCGATAGTGGTATGTTGATGAGATTTTATCGAATCGTTGTCAGATCATCAATTTCCACATGTGCAACCAAATCATCTGTAGTCAACCTGAGAGGGTTCGTTATCGATTAGCTTGACGACCTGTTCGACCACATAATCAGGTTCAGCCATTCAAGTTAGGGAAGCAGACTATGGTGGCAGCGGTTAGACGGTGAGATGAGTGGTTCAAGAGTAGCTGGAAGGAGATCAAGTTGAGGAAGGTGCTGCTTCACTATTCCATGATCGTTTCGCAATTATTACAAGGGAAGAGATCTGATGAAGCAAACGAGCTTGATGCTGGGTGTAACCTTTTCAGTTATGCGTGACGAGCATCGTTGCATTTGTTTGCATGACGGAGAGACGGTCGGTATAACAGTCCAATGCCATGGAGGAGGGCGTTCACCAAGCTGAATCGTCCGCGTGGTTACAATACGGTGGTCAACGATGTCCCAGCAACGGAAACCTTTCGTCATGTCGGAGTAGCCGAGGAAGGTGCATCGATGTGCCGTGTGCTTGACACTACAACCACCAGCGAGAATTATACGAACTTGGCCAACACCTCTTGCTTGGAGTCTTTGTTCACTGGAAACCTTCACACTGATTGGCGTATCCGATTGACGATAGTCACTAAAGTCATCAAGCATTCCAGACATGTGGCAGCTAGCTCTACTGTTCGAAAACCACGTTGAGTTACCTTCTGTCTCATTGGACACCACGGAGAAGACGAACTCATCACCACTGCCCTGCTTCTGCTGGATACAGTCTTGTCGCTTGTGGATACTTACCACATCCATGACAGTGGTCGTTGAACCGATCACCACTACTACGCGCAGCATAATTCTTCCACGCACCATGACCACCGTTACCGTTGCCATTGCGACGTCCACAATTGCCATTTCGACTATTTTCATAGCGACCATCACCATTACGAGCAGGACGAGGCTTAAGTTGATAAAGGCTGGCTTTGACTACAGCTTCTTTCTTGTCACGGCGCGTGAGAGCGCACATGCGTGCTCCACGCAGGACCAGAACCGAGAGCACATTTCACGTCCGATCAGTACGTAGTAACAATCGCCTGGTCAATCGGTAACGCCGCCCTCGTGATAGGCAGAATTTTACAGTCGAGGTGTGCCAAAGCGCATCTCCCATACCAGTGAACCGACCCAGCCAGTACCTTTCCTTAAAGAGATACTCGGCAAATATTGATAATCACTCTGCTATTCTTTGTGGTAAAGATGTTGCTGCACCCCCGACGCACGAATCTTAAGGATGTCAAATGCTTGTAAGTCAAGCGGATGCACCCTGAACTTGATATGGGCATATCCCATAGCAAGTAGCTCCATGTTGTGCGTGGGTTAGGCCGCTCTACGCTGGCAAGACTCACGGTCTGCAACGCAATTATGACTATTCGCATTTGCTTGAAGCAAAGTGTAACCTATTGCAATGGCTGAAGCTCACAGACAACGTGAAATGGACTATGTAGATTTAAAGAGCCTGAATCGAAATTAACATGAGGCTATTTCGCACCGTTTCAATGACCGTCTCTCTCGAAGTATCCAACATCTACAGCTTTTTTGACACTAAAAGCACTTTCCTCCTCAAACTAGTCGCTGATTATTGCCTCCCTTGATGCGTAAAACAACTTTGGGCACACGTTATTCGCCTGATTAGGCGCTGCAAACTTCTACGATATCTGTCACTTCAGCTGTTTCCAGGAGTTCAGTATCCGTTCCACAGAGGCGCAACACATAACTATTCATTCTCAGGTGCGGCCTCCTACCATAAATACCGCAAACCCTAGAAGATGTTTTCAATTTGGGGTTTTGCTAAATATATCATCACCTTTTTTTTCCAAAAGTGATCTACTTAAAAAGCCCTTTTAGTCTAATGGTTAGGACATTTCTTATCACGGCAAAAATACGAGTTCAATTCTCGTAAAGGGGATTTTATATATATTTAATCAGAATGGCTATTGAAATATCATATATATTGGAATCAAATAGTTCGAGGCTGATTTATTCGGAATTTATTCTTGATAAAACATCAAGATCAAAATATGGAACTTAAATACGAAGAGTATAAAATAAAAAAACTATTTACAAAAAAAAAAAAAAAAAAAAA